CTATTAATACTCTGTTATACTGCCTTGGTTTTACTTTATCATAATTTGTGTGTGTCTGTGTGTGTGCGTGCGCGCATTCTGTGGATAAAACAAGCAGAAACAGCCCTTGAAACATGTTAATATACTACCGAAAAGACGTAGAATATTTCGTTCATTCGTTGGTGGTCATACTGAAAAACAGAAAACATAACGCAGAAAAACATTTATAGTCTTTTGGATCAAAACTTACGAACCGCTGTTGATAACAAGAAAAACCGTTAAACTCGATCAACCTCCTGCCTTGAAGGAAGATCGAAAAACGGGCAAAACTTCGAAAGTGGTCAGTCATCTAAATTACCGTATGACTGCTTGCACTGCACATTAATAAACCGTGTTTTATGTTGTCTAGTGTACACACTACAAGTACTCTTAACACGAAAGCAACGAGGCGTGACTGATGGGTGGGACTGAGTTAAGAGCGACTTGCGGAAAGTTCGTGCTACGTAAAAGTTTGCGGAAGGCAACTGTTACGTAAGTCTGCCCGCATGTATAAGTTAAATTACATTGCATTGTTGCATTAAGTAAAAATAATTCATTACCTAAGCTGTACCGATCTGACTATAATTGCATTCTGTTATTTACCGCGTTCAAGATATATTTCTTAAAAACTGCTCGAACTGTTGCCAACAAAGAAGGCGTGGCTGCCTTCGTTCAAGATAGTGGAATTCTCTTAACCAGACGAACGTGCTAGAATGACGATGCGAAGGAATTAGGCCCGAAAAAACTGCACGACCTGCCAAAATAAGGAGTGCGCGCAGCATGTTAGAGGTCGCACCGGAACTTGGCTCGAAGGAAACCGACCTCCCATTACAAAGCTTCATCTACAGCAAGTCCATGTCAGTGAAGTCCGTCAAATTCTGTGAGTGTGACCTGGAGAATGGAACCTAAGCGATGGCAAACTTCAACAGACTCGCGCGATGTAAGTACCGAGGACAGGAAGATCATTGAACGTGGGCAGAGCCGTGAGTGACGAACGCCTCGATGGTCGAGAGTGACGCGAAAACGAAGCTGGCCGAATACGTCCGCGACATTGCATCTTTGGCGGGATAAACCGAGAGGCGACGCACTGCTTCTCGGCACTTGTCCGTAATCGCATCATCGAAATGCGGATACCGCTCATTCATCTCAGAATGCGACCCGTAGAGGCAACCATCTCGGATAACTGACCCGCCTACAACTTCACTCTGATCTCGAGCAGCAGGCTCACATTTAAACAACGAAGATACACATGACGCCCAATCAAGTAGATCAACCACAACCGTTCTGGAAATACATACAACTTTTTCAATAATAGTCACTAGCCGAGATATAGCCTATTCAACGTGGCTGAGCAAGTTCAACGGCCAGGATCCATTCGACAGAATCTTCAACGACACGGCGGATTTGACCGCTGAAAAAGTAGCGAAATTGTCGTTAGCTGAAGCTGCTGTTTCTGTTCATGACTAATAAGGCTGCGTTCTAAAGATGAATGTAGAAGCGAATCACCCGTGATGTAGGTCACCTCGACGAAACTGAGCTCATTTGGGTGATGAGCTGTAATTGGTATCGGGCTTGATAGCTGGACTTGAAATAGTTAATGACAGTGCGAAGTTCTACAGGGGCAACATATGATGGAAAAGTTGTGACGAAAAGCCTGATTATAGGATTCAGTGATGCACCTACCTTTCTCTAGTTGCAGATATCAGGCTTTCGTCAAGTGCCTTAGTCTTGCTCGGTGTTCGCACTACGCGCACGACTGTTTACGGCATATTTTTGACTTGTTAACCGGCTTCTTACCTTGTGATTCCGCAAATGTCGTGAATAGGAATGCTCTGAGGTGTGTCCATCTTGTCTTATCGAATCTCTGTCACGATGACACAAGATACGTAACCTAACGTACGTGGTTTGCGCAAATATGAGGCGAACTTTCTCTGCTTCAAATATGGTCGTTTCTTTGTAACACGGCCCCGTTGTTCACTGAACTGAATAATTAGCACAAAAGCGAACACCGAGCAAGACGGGGGCGTCTGAAAAAACCTGGGCATTCAGGCCAGCATGGCCGGCGTTGCAACGCTATAACAGGCGCATCACCCATTTCTTATTCACTTGACTTGTACTATCTCTACCATTTAGCTGCTCGTGCTGAACTTTCATGCCGCTAACGAGCTTTCCGAAGCAAAACCACGAATGCGGTTCCAAAGCTCGTCATCCAAACGGGATAACCTCGTCGAGTTCTACCTATTTCACAGGTGGTTCGCCAACTGAAGATGCACGTTCGTTGTGAACATCGCCCCGGATTCAACAATGATCCCTTAACGCCTGGTCCCATATTAAACTGTCTAAACAGGCGGAAGAAAATGATGTATTTAAGTACAAAGAATATGCATACAATTTAATTTTAAACCAGTGCATACACTGTCGGAGACTTTCTTAGGAAGAAACACATATTTATCTTAAAAAGTACAACGAGCGTATATACTAAAATGAATCCTTGTTTCTGTCGTTCAAAGTTTACTGAAGTTTCTGTCGTTCCGAGTTTACTGAAGTTTATAATAAATGTTATTTACTGAAATCACTGTTTAGGAAAAGATGGCGGATAACAGAAGATCCGCGGTTTCTTCTTACCGTGCCCAAGTCTCCGGTATGCGACGGGACCTCACGTGGCTGATGTGTTCCGTTCTCATCTGACGCGATCTCATCTCGCCTCGTGCCTCTCGTCGCTGCGCAAATTCACTAACAATCGGTCCTCGACCGATGAAGTGCGTGTAAAAATGTGACAGAAATACAGCGTCCACTGAGCGATGCCAAAGCAAAGCAGGAAGCCGAAAACGAAGAACTCAAGGTTGGCTTCCGCCGTCGTAAAAAATGAGCGACCACGGAGTTTGGTCAGTTATCATAGGTTCTTATAAAAAATAGGATAAAACTGCTTTATTAAACGCACGGCAGCAATGAGGCCAATACCGATTAGCCATCATGTCATGCGACTGCTTCAAGATAAACCTCGCAAAATCGGCTCAAAATAAACGCCTAATATATGCTGACGTCGCAATGGTACTGTTCGCAGTTACTTCGACAAATGATCTTACAAAGCATTCTTGCGCAATCACTTCTGTTTAGGACTGACAAGGGAAAAATGCCTTACTCACTGACCACAGTAAAACCAACCAGCTCAGCAAACATTCCTGTCATGCGTTAGCCATCGACTTCTTACCCTTCATTTCGCTGCAGAATCAAAAGGTAGACAGAATCCCCAGCACCGACTCTGCAATATAAACAGTTTGCACTTCAGTGCATATGAAAAGAAGGTAGTTATGAAACTATGACCGCACAGTTACTTTTTGAATCTGTTCCGTAGAACCTGCATACTTCTTTTAATTACATATGCTTCGCCAACGTACTTCGTCTCCCGTGGAAAAGCGTTTCTGCCCCAAATTTCAATCGGTTCTGAAAACTGTCGGCAGAGCAGGTCAGCTATCCTGTGTGAATTCCGTAAACGTCGTGAGAAATCAAGTTATAAGATCTGTAAAACTGGATAATTCAACTCGAACCTATCCTAACTCTCTCAAACACCAGGCTCTTTCAAAATGTACTTCGAGGTCTCCTTCCACAAGGTTTAAATATGTACCCATCTATATAACGACTGAAGCATACATAATATCTGTGAACCTGCAAATGACTTGGACTCTGT